TATTTTGGATTTTGGCACCAAATTCATTCAATCATTTGGTTAAATAGAGTTTTGGTATTTTAACTGATGTCAGTTCGTGATGAAAATCCTAAATTGAATTCCTAACCTTAACCGTCAACTGTGAATCAGAATTGTAATTCCTCACACTGGTTCATAACCCTCAGCTTACACTAGTAAGTAGGTGGATACTTTCAAATTCACTTGAGCGTCACCCATAGATCGTCCATAAAATATAGTCTCACCATATATGAGATTATTTAAGGATTTTTAAGCGCTCAATAAATTTGCTGTCATGGTTTAGTATAGAGATGAGATAATGAGGACTAAGAATACGTTCTTTCTTTTTAGATTTCTGTACGAAATTTCAATACGTTGTGTAATGAACAATAAAAATGTGCATGTAAACTGCCATAAATATCTAAAATGATAACTGATAAGTCTTGGTGATTGAACGCTATATTCGAATCCTAAGCTAGTCTCGTAACCCCCAAACTAGAACTACACAGCGACTTGAACACGAGAGAAAAAGCGCAAAATATACGAGAAGCACTTTACTCCAAAAATTCATTTATGTACAGAAAATATAGGGTTTTTATTGTATTTTAGAAGTCCTTGGGTTTTCCTGAAAATTCTAGAATACTACTAAACATAGTAGCAGTCTAGTAATCAGCTAATCAGAAACCCTACATATGACTTTTCACTTTCGTGATGTTTCTAGCAAAACTCCTACTGAACGCTGATTGGATAAAATGTTTCTTAATGTTTCCTGAGCTTGTCATAGCTTGACAACTGGTTTGAAGCGGCGTTACATTCTTTGTACAGTCTCTCATGTCCAAGTCTTTATTCTATTTTTGTTTCCGGTATTCTCTAACGTAACTTTCATCGATATACCTGTGATTAAATATAATGGCAGATCCACTTGGTTATCTCTGGTGTGTATCATTTTTCTATCCTTGTGGACTGCATTGGTGTGTCTGATACGCGTCTATAAAGTCCCTCAAACCCTGAACAAAACTCTTTACAATCTTTCTAGAATTGATCCTGGTTTCCACCAATACTTCCTGAGGTATGATTTCACGAACAATTTATTTAGCTTTGGATATTAGGATTTTACCTGTGCCGTAGACTATTTTAGGTTGCAGCACAGCATTTAAAATAGTCCGAATACTTCCTCTAAACTTGCTTTTGGAAACGGACTTCCCACCTGGGATAATAGGATTGATGATTATGATGACTAGAAGTAATCGGAGTAATGAGATAATCAGGAATTTCTGAACTATGCAATTTAAAGCAGGTGCAACAAGATGAGCACAAATAAACTTATTTTGTTTGCATTATGTGATAAGCGATAGATCAGGTACCAGGGGATCCAAATCTCCGTAACGGATTGTACGTCTCCCCCTAAGGTTTATCTTGCGTCTGTCAGACTGTTTATTGAATTTAAAGTTTCCATGATCTAGAATGTCCTCAGTAGTATTAGAATTAACAATGTAAATTGGTAGAGACTCATTCGGGTCCTTGCAACGTATTCGGTTAGTGTGGTATGCATGCATATGAACCAAAGACTTATCGACATACTTTAGTAAGCGTTTCATGGATTGTCGAAATTCAGTTCCCCGAAAGTATGTGACACAAGCAAACTATAAACCTTCCATATTTAAACAAACGTGTTTTCCACTTGATCATCATCATAAGAGAGATTTGGAGCTGTGCGCAAACATTAAAAGTTCGAATCTACAGTTAACAAGTTATCAAGCACTTTATTTAAACCATCATCAGCGATCAACAGGAAAAGCTTTCGTTCAAGCATTCTTAAATTCTCTAGACTCAAGATAAATGGTCTGTAACCAGGGATGAGGAATTCACAAGACTGATGATGTATCATCTCTAATCAACAAATAACAACACCCAAGATCGGAAAGTTTACGATCGGTAATACTCAAAATAGAAAATTTGGTGAGTTTAATTATAACATCAGGATTTAATGACCTCAATGTTCCAAGTGCTATGATGAATTCAATACTGTCAGTGTCAACAATAAATTCATGAAAAGTAATTCCGCTTTTTCACGGCTTTTGAAACTAGTACACTTCACATGATTTGGCAATAGTTCTTTGAGAGTTGCGTAGGAAATTTAAATAGGCTTATATGGAAATTACAAGGTTTTTGTTAGGTTATAAGCATCTTTTCCGATGAATATGAAGAAACGGGATACAATGACGCCATCCTTAACATCTTCCCTGGTCATACTCCAGATTTGACATGTAGTCCTCAAAAATTTCAGAATTTGAATGTACATGAAAAGGTTCAAACACAGTCTCCACAGCAACACCAATATGATGATTAGAAGTATTCAAATTGTTGCACCAACTAGGCATCACCAATCCCTTGAGCGTATATTTCAATCTATCTATGATCCAAGGTAGATCATCAAAAGACTGAAGCGACGCCACAGCAAATAGTACACGACATAAACCTGACAACTATTAAACCGAACCAGAGCAGTTGTTAACATTTTAGAAAAAATTATTCGGCAAAAGTTGTTTTAGCGTCTCGATGAAAACCAGATTCTTTCTGGATAGCAGCATGGCTCTAGGATAGATTATTCATGTCTTGTAAGCTTACTAGAACCCGCGAAAGTTAGCGTGTTTTTAAAGATCACAACTTACCTAATGATGTGTCAATCATCGACTCCTGTATGGCTTCCAACAAAGTTTCACACAACCGTCTGCTATCTAAGTGATATCAAGACTGGAGGCAATTTTTTAACTTAGATAAGGAACATTTTGTTGGATATGAGCGAACTCTGAGTTAGCTAGCCGGGAAACTGTGATTAGCGGAGAGGCTCAAGGCACACTTTTAGAGTTTGCGTTGTTCCTAGATTGCGCAAACGATCATCTTAGTCTCTTATTATCGCCGGTCTTGTTATGTATTGACGATATCTAGGTGCCTACAGCGATGAAAAGTGAAGGTGGTAGCTCAGAGCTTCAAAATGACTGGATGAAATTATCTGAATGGTCTAGCAGTTGATAGTTGCCGCTAAATGCTTTCAACTGCATTATAATGTATATTGGTCACCAAGATGCAAATACATTCACTATGGATAACATTAAGATAACTTTTATCCAGACATAGAACGACCTAAAAGTCATCGTTAGCCAAGACATCAAAACTAGTGCACCCTACCGTGCCTTTGCAGGTGAAGGGTTTAGAGCCATATAGTCGATGGATAGAGCCTTAGCCGTTTCGATACTAAAAACCTCTAGGCTATGTTTACAGTATTTGTTGATCCTAAACTCGAGTACTGCATACATGAGGCTAGATGCTGCCTGAAAAGAGACGGTAAGCTATCAAAAAATGTTCACCGAACCACAACAAAGCTGTTTTCCGGAGTCGCAAAGCTCCTGTATGATAACAGACTGGACAAACTAAATATATTTCCCTTGTTATATGCTTGGACCATAGGTTGCTAGATAATAGTTTTTCAACTACCGAACGATAAATAAACATCCAATATCCCCTCATTTTTCCTGTCCTCCGAAATAGACAATATAAGAGACTTATGTTACTGGGGACTGATGAGACAAAATCTCGGTATCGAAAAGCTCAGAATACCCGTGCCTCAACCATCAGTATGTCTAGAAAGTTAGACGAAGAGAAAATTGTCAAGTAATCCATAGAATGTCCTAAACGCTTGTACTCCTATATGAACCAAAGGACAAGAAAAGAGGAAATATTCCTGCACAATGGGGAGACAGTACTGCCCCATCATTAGTGGAGCAAGACTTTGGTAGGGCTCAAGTATTCTCAAACTACTTTGGTAATGTATATACCACAGAAACACCCCTTCCGCCAGTTCATACAAATCTTCACAAAAACGCTGGAAAGCGCGATCATCAAAGAACTCGGTGTCTTTGGTCTGCTAGTTAAGCTTGACATAGGTAAATCCACTGGACCCGATGAATTGCATCCTAAGTTACCAAAGAAACCAGCTAACTCCCTTGCGAACCTCTTAGATATATGTTTTAATCTACATGTAACTGGGGATCCATTACCAAAAGACTGAAAGAATGCCATAATAAGTCCTATCTTCAAAACAGGTACGAAACATATACCTGAGAACTATCGATCTATTAGCCTAACTAGCGTGGTTGTTAAAATTTTAGAAAATATTATTCGGAAGGAGCTGTTTAAGTATCTCCACAAAAACCGGATCCGTCCAGAAAAGCAGCATGGTTCTATGATAGGTTACTCTTGTCTCACTAACGTATTAGTGGCTCGTGAGAGCTGTTGTGCTTTTAGGGACCATAATTCACCTGTACACATAGCGTACATCGATTTCAGCAAAGCTTTAGACAAAGTTCCTCCCAACCGCTGTCATATAAGCTAAGAAATGTCTATATTGAAGGCCGTCTATTGATGTGGATAAAAGACTTGCTAGTTGGGCGACAACAAAGAGAACGGGTAAACTTCACGTTTCCTAGCTGGGAAACTGTGCTTATTGAAGTCCCCCAGAGTACATTTTTGGGTATAATGTTATACCTCTCGTATGAAAATGACCTTCCTCGTCTCCTATCATCATCGGTCTCGATATATGCTGATTACGTCAAGATATAGAAAGAGATAAGAAGTAGGGGCGATAGTTCAGAACTTAGAAATGACCTGGAAAAATTATCTGACTCGTCTCAAACCTGGAAGTTGCCGACAAATACTTCCAAGTGCATTGTGATGCATATTGATCATCAAGGTACAGATACATACATGAAGAATAACATTGATCTAGCTGTTGTCCAGACACACAATGACTTAGGAGTCATCGTTAGCCAAGACTTAAAAACTACTGCATACTGTCGTGCAATAGCCGCCAAAGGTTGTAGAACCTTATGGTCAGTACGTAAGGCCATTAGTCACTATAAGCTTATTTTTACAACGGCAACATTAGTTTGTCATACTTACTTCCCAAGCTTCAATTCCATTTGTCGTTATGAAGTTGAAGGCTTCATTGTTTGTCTAATTGTCCCTTGCTAATTTAAAGGCTATTTCGCTGTGTATCTGAGTTACGAAACACGCGTGTGTTTAAAAATGTGTCCAGTAGCAGGTCAAACTGTTTGCTTTAAAGTTTGCTCCTAAGACTGTCTTAATTTGAGGTTAATTTCATTTCTTATTGTTGTCTATTGGTTTCGTGTAATTGCATTGTGAGTGCTTTCTTGGTTTTCGATTCGCTTTTTGTTCTCCTTTTCAACCCCCTTCACTTACGCTACAATGTATGCTTCCCTAGCACACAAAGTACCTTATTGCTAGACGCCAAACAACACAGTGCATTTTATCCCAATTCCCATTATCAATACTTTTAGGACCCAAGATTATATTTTATGTTTCTTATTTCTCACGTCAACAAAGCTGTATATTCTGATTCTCCTTTGACTGTTCATTATTTATATGTATGTATGGCATTTTCATCAAAACGTATCTGTTCACGTTTCTACATTGTTTCTCACTGTCTAACCACTGTTATCCAATTGATCGTGATTCCGTTTGAATTTTAATTATTTCGCACTTCCAAGGCAAATCCGCTAGAAATTTTTCTCTGAAGTACGTTTTCTTAAACTTGTTCCAAGTTAAAAGCCAACCTTGAATGAAGTTGGAATTAGCATCAAATAAAAAAAATGCAGGACCCAGAACAGTATGTTCAACTTAATTTTAACTAAGTTTCATTTTTGAAAATTTAGTGTTTAGTTATTCCCGGAAATTTGACTATTTAATATTTAAGGCTACTTATTTATTACAGCTTAACTCTTTTATCCTGAGATTTATAAACTTACATCTTTTCATTCATTGCATAGGTGACAGTTTTGTTCCAAAATTAAAACAAACATTATTCAGGTAGATTTGTGCAAAACGTGTATTTCAAAGATATATCCATCATGAAGTAAAGTGAAACGAGTCCGTCTAATTATAAAGTACGGATACTTAATTTCTAATTCATTGATTTAAAGATGTCGGTTTGACTGTAAGAATCAAAGATTCCAGGTCAATTCAACACTACGCACAACTGCGTACTGTGTAAATTCCTAACTAGAACGAAGCAACATCTTATTGCCGCCCAGATTTAGAAAGATTCTTCAGATGATGTCAGTTACCTACAATGCATCTAAAATTTATTTGAATTTCTGTACTTCATGTATAATCTAGTTTAATTACTTTCCAGATAGCCATAAATAGCTTGAGTCTTTAAAAATATATACATGAGTTAAAGTTAAAGCATGGACAGCAAAGATATCGAAACAATAATTTTAGTACCATGACTAAACATAGAAAATACAATTTGAAACGAACTAATGAAACCAAAGAATGAAAATTTTGCTATCTAAAGTAAGATTTATAGTCAACAGATCCACACTAATGCAATTAATTCGATCCCATGTCGCTCAAGGTTTCTAACCATAGACAAAACTACGATTGTGGCTTCCAACCAAGAAGTCTACATGCGTAACAGCTGTTTGTTTATTTCACAATGAAACCGGTTAGTATATATCAATTTCAGTGGTTCTCTTATGCAAATTGTAGAGCAGTTAGTTTTACATCCTAATAGTTATTACTAATTATTAAGATAGTCTGCCTCTATACTATTTTTTACAAGAACTGGTTTTTATAAATCAACACTTATGATAGAATGGTAAACTGAACTCCATGAAGTATTGATCCCTCAGTAGGATGGCTCAGGCAGTAAACTTTTATTATTACTTCAGGCGACATAACCACTGTCTAATCCAGGTAGAAGTGACCCCTTTGAATTATTCCATAAGTTTCAAATCAGTTTATTTTCATGAAGTGATATGTGACAAATTTTCTCCATAGGTTTTGTATTCCTCATGTAAGTTGTGCCGTTTCTTTATTTTCATAACTTGTTATAGAATCCACCCAAATCTGATGTAAACAAAACAATTACAATAGATTTATGTGGTTGGAGTGAACAGAATGCGTTTCATTCAGTACATTATGAACCTGCCTGTCGAACAACTGGTTCTAATATTGTGGGGGGTGTAGGATGTGGAAAATCAGAACGACTTCCTTACCAAAAGCCAACAAGAATGTGTAAACAGTACACATTTTATCATTACGATGATCCGCATGCTTACATACTTCAATATAGACGAGATTGTACATTGTGTTATAATTTGAAAGATAATAACCAAAACAAGGGACCAGTGGAAGAATTCAATAAATCAACAGTTGTTGAAATGGATGATATACAAAATTGCAGTGTAAGAAATTTTATTTACTGTATTCATAATATAAAGTCGCCTTACATCGTACTATGAAAATACATTTTTCCAGTCAGGAGGATGATTTGTATACGAAGCTAAATTACCAATATACGACCATAGAGTTATGATTATCAGTGTACAGTTAGTACGACAAAATGTAATAAACCATTCATCTTCTTTGTTATACCTAAAATATAATATCATCCATCATCACGAAGATGATGTATTCATTCTCTATATTTTCCAAAGTATTGAGCGCTAGTTGTTTTATTTCGGCTTTTAGTAAACTGGCTCTCTGATATTTTGTCTTTTTTGTTTAGCTTAAAATTTAGTCAGCAGCTATTTCAACTCTCAATAAAGCACAGTCATAGCACAGTTGACTTGGTTGCGAACTGAAATGGTCAAGGTGGATGAACTGATAGTTCATTTACAACGCTCATTTTTAAATTATAACCAAACGAACTCCGAAAGATATGATTATTATTCATTTACCTTAATATTTATAGTATAATTTAAACGCTTTTGATAAACTATTATACCAGCCGCTGTGTATATTCACTACGTCTGTTCTATGAAGTGTCGAATTAAATAGTGACCAAACAAGCTATGCTGCTTTATATCCTAGCTATAATATTCTTCTAGCCTTCCTTTTTATTTCCGACTAAAATTCATTAGAGACAATGTTTGGTTTTAGCATTCAGAGAAGTCCGATAGCAGTCAGATAAACAATGAAAGTCCATCTGAACACTCGTATCTTAAATCAACGTGTACTACAGCAACAGACAATTGTCAACCACAGTCGTCTGAAATAAAAGTGAAACCTACCAAGTCAACATTAACTGATAATACTACTACTGCTACTACTACCACTACTAATACTAATGCTACTACATCTGGGAATCGCCATATATGGGTGAATAATTGTCCTACTGGTCCAGGTCGTAATAATCCCATTAATAAATTTTCTAATGCAGATATCAGGTTAGTTTTAATTTAATTATTCAATAAAATGCTTTTTTTCATTCAGAAATCAAAGTTCCACGAGCTACTAATACCTTAGTCATTATCTGATGACGAGATATAAATTTATGCTGACAAATTACAGGATCCTTTACTTTAAAGTAAAAATGCATTGTGGCCAGTGATTATAAGCCAGATGTTTTATATAATTGTGCTTTTTTCAAGCTTTCTGTACTCAATATCACATACTTGTCACGTTATCATGGAATTGATCATTAATAGTAGTTGGTTATTGGTCTAAACGGCAGATATCACCTTTATGTTCGGTCTCTGCCCGATAGAATGGTTAATAATCTCATGACTATCTTAGACTTTATGTTCTTGTTAGTATTATTTCGTTCGATATACATTTTTAACTTATTTCTTCTTGAAGAGTTATCATATTTCCATGTGTTCTAGGCAGAACTAGTTGATAATAATCTGTGCTAACTAATCATTGTCTTAAAAAATCAGTCGATTTGTAGTATATCTACGATGTCTACTATTGTGGAGCTTCGACTACCATTTAAGATTATGTTATTAAGGTCTACCTAAAACAGAAGTGAGCTTTCAACCTAATCCCACGCGCACTAGATCAATCTGTTTGAATGATCGTATTTATGATTAGTTATCTTCTTTGGCTTCATATTACGTCTCATTGTCGTTAATTGTTTTGTTAAATTAACCGTTAATCTTGTGATTAGTCAATCATATCTACATAACAATCGATGGTTAGAGACCTTTAATGACATGGCTCAAAATCGTTTGCAATGGTGAAGGTGCATCCACCCTTTGTGTTTTGCCAAATTCTAATCTTCTGAATTCTTCACGTCACTTTCTTTTTTTCTTCTTTTCAAATTTATCTCACTGTATTATACTCCTTCAATAACATCTTCAAACCTTAATCTTTCACATAATGCTTATGCTCTTGCTACTTCTATCACTATGGGATTTGAATCGACAACTGCATCTCTGTGCTAATGTGGTATGACAACTCGAACGGATGTACGTACGTACGAAGTTCTGCGTTGTGACTGACTAACTGACTAACATATCTACATCAATTAATATATTGGGCTGATAGTGATGATGATCCGAAATTAACGTTTTTAGTTCACTAAACTTAACAACCATCAAAATTATTCATATGAACTACGAATCATAATTTTACACTTTCTTATATATGAAACTCGTATGGCTTATGACTTATTAATATATCACGAGATAATATCGCTAATTAGAGACATCGATTTAAACGACCAGACTAATAACGCATAAACTTTTACGAGCAGCCGAAAGTTTTTATAGGCTCTTTGAGAGAATAGCTTCTCACTTAACCCAACCGGTTCAGTCCAGAACACAAATATCAACCTCCATTATATGAATCATATATTTCAAACATACTGTATTTATATACAAACAAACCAGACCGCATAACACCATAAAATGAAAAATAATTATTATACAAAATCGGGCCCAAAGTGTCTTTCAGTGTGGGAGGCTGTAACTAGTAAATTGGGAATAACTCGGGAATGGTAAACCGTATAAGGATAGTCAATAATTCAAAAGGAAGCTTACAATAAAAGAAATCTCAATACACATATGATATAGTTGCTTAATGATTATACAATAATATATATAATAATAGAGTTGAGATCGTGAGTCAATTGAAGCTAGACCACCATGGAAAACCTGGAAGCACTGGACGGCCGTTTCTTCCAGGTTTTCCATGGTGGTCTAGCTTCAATTGACTCACGATCTCAACTCTATAACTTACTAAAATCTCCACAAAAACCCCTTCTGATATATAATAATAGTCTATAAATAGGTCCTAACAGTTACTATTCATTACTGTTCGCCGGAAATAATAATAAAAAACTAGTAGACTTTCACTTGGTATTGTTTGTTTGAATCTTCCCATTGATGTTTTAGGACTGAAACTGGTCAGTCTCTAGTTGGCATATGTGTGTATTGCCTCGATAAAGCCTAAATTCACAAGCATGATAAGCACAGATGGATAGTGGATAGCAGTGGAATCTAAAATGTACGTTTCATCCTATTCGGGACTCATCAGCTGGATGTACCTGCATCTCAAACTTGTTGATGTTCACTCTGGGACTCGAACCCAGTACCTTTCGCTCCGAACGCCATCGCGTTATCCACTCGGCCACTGAGTCCTGATAGCCACAGTATGCATATATGCCAATTAGAGACCGATCAGTCGCCGTCCTAAAACATCAATGGGAAGATTCAAACAAACAATACTAAGTGAATTTAAACTTCACCCCATTGCACAAGGAAGTGGCTATCAGGACTCAGTAGCTGAGTGGATAACATATTGGCGTTTGAAGCGAACGGTACTGGATTCGAGTCCCAGAGTGAACATCAACTCTGAGATGCAGTTACACCCATCTGACGAGTCCCGAATAGGACGAAACGCGCGTCCTTGATTCCACTGCTAGCCACTATCCATCTTTGTTTACCAAACTAGTAAACTGTTTTGGTAAGTTCATACATACGCCAATACCTTTTACATTCACTTATCCTTCATTTATGTTTTATTTCTTCTTTAAAGCAATAAACATGTGAATCAAATGAAACAAAGATTAACTAAAAAACAGTCAAACATTGTAAGTTCTTTCATTGTTCACATTATTTTTTGTAATAAATTTAATTAAAATACACAAGTAAAAGAAATTTTCAAAATTTTACTACTCAACTTATCGTCCCAATCGAAACTATTGTCACTCCTTAATGGTATACTTGACTGATAGTTATTGTTTTAAGAGCATTAGATCGTTATCATCCGGAGTCTTTAACCTAATCGTCTGGTCTAGAAGGCAGTGGAGCAACGTCAGGAGATATAGTCCCATGGTAACCGGTGACCAACAATTAGTTCATATGCCATTTGTCCCTCTAGGCTCCTAGAGCCCATGTGCATCACTGGTTTAAATTGAGAGTTTTCCAACCCCCTTAGGGGGATCCTCAATATCCAAAAACCCGGCTAACGCGTCGTATATTTGCTTTTCTTCCTTTCAATTTCATAGACAACAGTAATGCCGCGAGAAGGCAGTGAGTAGGACTTTCGTGATTATGGCTGCATCAGTGTGGCCATGTGGGAGCATTTGGAGAAAAAGAGCTGACTCTCTCCACTCTCTACCATACCAAAGCACTCGGAGGCATAAATGCATAACAGTTAATTGTTAACTTGAGGTAAATACCAATTTACTTCATAAAACAGATATGTCCCAGTAATGTTAAACAGTAAACTGGATTACCCTTGATCATTTCAGCTGGTCAATATATAAGAAGGTGAATATAAGTTACACTTTGATAACTCTAATATTCAATCAAGACGTCTTGAATTCAAACAGAAATAATCTCCTGATGATTAGTACTAACTATCACCAAATCTCATCAGAATATAAGCCATGATAGTAAAGAAGATAATGCATATTATCAATTCCAAGTGATAATTTTAGTTCAGTAATTGGTAAACAGGAAGTGATAAGCTCTTTGGTAACAGTTCCTTTCATTATATATTCTGAGTAAGTATCAAATGAAAAACTTGTTGTGACAGGCGTAGTCCGAATAACTGATACTGACTCCCCACCACCATCAAATGACTACTGAGACGAGAACACAAGAGTAAGGAAGAAGTTATATTGGGCTACCGAATAAAATGCACAAATACTCTTTTATATATATACCACTTTAACCCTTAAGAAATTGATCCATTTTTTAGCCAATGAAGTGCACCTATCCTTCAGATCACTCCTGGTTGTCATCGATTGACCCTCTCATTAGGTTAATTTTGATTAGCTCACTAAATCACAACTATTAAAAATCCTTATATCTTAGAAACAGCTTTCAACCGTTCCTAAGACTACGCTCAAGAAAGAGGGTTTTTAATAAAAATCCTATCCTCTCATCATAAAAGACAACTCAGTCGTTATATATCTTCAAAGAATACTATCTTCTACAATGCAGTTGTCCCTATGGGATCTAACTGGCCTTATGAAGTAAATTATAATGGTAGATGCTCTTGGAATTTGCATAGTCGTGCTCACGATCATCACCCTGTGCAGTGAATCAAAGGTGTCGTTAAAACTAACAGTTCTATTCTATACAGACAAGTTATTACAAACGGATCATACAGCTAGTGTGAACCAGTCATTTCCAATGATTATTATCGTGTTCATAATTATCTGCCTAAATCTGACTATTTCACTCATCGAACATTATGATTATTAATCTCGCAGTTTCAATTAACTTAAACTTATTCAGGTTAACCGTATACATTAGTCATTTCATCAATAATACTGTTCGTAGTTCAAATCACAAACAGATGTGGTGTGTGTGTTTCGTCTTATTTGGGGCTCGTCAGCTAGATGTGCCTGCATCTCAGACTTGTTGATGTTCACTCTGGGACTCGAACCCAGTACCTTTCGCTTCAAACGCCATCGCGTTATGCACTCGGCCACTGAGTCCTGATAGCCACTTGCTTGTGCAATGGGGTGAAGTTTAAATTCACTCAGCTGACGAGTCCCAAATGGGACGAAACGCGCGTCCTGAAATGCACTGCTAGCCATTATCCATCTTTGTTTACAAGAGAAATGATTAATCATCTTTAGAAAGTGTTTAGTTTTATTATTCACTATTTCGATTTCTAATTTAATGAACTTTTTTATTGTTATAAATTCCCACACACACACACACAAAGTCACATAACAACTGTTCAAGTCAACCTACCTCAGGAAAACTCTCTGATAAAGCTGATTTGAATTCGAATGGATCACAACATATGCCTGTTCTACGTATAAAAAGTGCAACAAAACTGAATGCAGAGCTTAATACAGACGTGACCAATACTCAACAATCAATTCGTAATGCAAGTCATCCTGATTTCTGGCCTTTATTAAACAAGAAATTGCTTCATTTACAAGCTGAACGTGCTAATCAAACTGAAGAAGAGTAATGATTTCGAAAATTTATGTGTTATTCACTTAGTATTGTTTGCTTGAATCTTCCCATCGATGTGTTAGGACTGCAACTGGTCAGTCTCTAATTGGCATATGTGCATATTACCTCAATATAGCCTTAATTCACAAGCATTGTAAGCAAAAATGGATAGTGGTTAGCAGCGGAATCGAGGACGCGCGTTTTGTCTTATTTGGCGTTTGAAGCGAAAGGTACTAGGTTCCAGTCTCAGAGTGAATATCACTATGTCTGAGATGCAGGCACATCCAGCTGACGAGTTCCAAATAGGACGAAACGCGCGTCAAACTGGATTCCACTGCTAGCCACTATCCATCTTTGCTTACTATGTATGTGTTATTGTTTATTAATTTTAAATATTTCGGATATTTTATAGTCTCTTTCGCATAGTCACTAGGATCAAGGTATTCAAAATTATTTTAATTCATTAAAACAATAATTAACATAATGTAAATACCTCTAGGATCAATTTTTATCATAAATTGACACCGACTGGTGAACCACTGAAAAATGTCGAGCACTAGATGACAGACTCATTGAGAATCTAAACCATCTGATCTCGCAACAACTACAATATCTTTATTCTATTAAGCTTAAATCCAACTATGGTCAAATTGTAGTATGACTATCGTTTATTATTATCGGAGACATCTGTCACACTCAGTATAATTGTACTCTAATGACCACGGGAAACCAATTACTAGTAGACACACTTGAATATACAGTTTTATGGGTGTAGTTTAACTCCGCACTAATCTTATATACACTGATACTTAATTTCAGAATACTGTTACATCAACAATGCGATATCAGCAAGTCAAGTATTAAGATATATTCATAGTTGAAATCATGAGTCAATTGAAGCCAGACCATCATGGAAAACCTGGAAGCACTGGACGGCCGTTTCATCCTATTATAGGACTCCTTAGCAGTGCGCATCCACGATCCCGCACTCACAAGATCCGAACCCAGGACCTACCAGTCTCGAGCCAGAGCACTTAACCATTAGACCACTGAGCCGGCATCCAACGGTGTTAATGTCTAACTTCAACCAATCCACGATTTTGAGCAACCGTCCCATAATAGGACGAAACGGCCGTCCAGTGCTTCTAGGTTTTCCATGATTGTCTAGCTTCAATTGACTCATGATTTCAACTATGAAAATACTGAAATCTCCACAAAAACCCCTTCTGATCTATTAAGATATAATCCGACAGCAGATCAAAAATTGAAAAGAACATGAAAACTATAAAAGTTTGAGGACATATAAATAAAATTCCCAACCAATTCATAATACATAAAAACAAAACTGGAAAATGTACTAGTAACAAGAATTCAATCAAATACTGAATATGTATGAAATGTGATCACTACATACATACAATTGTCATGACGCAATATACAGAGGATTAATTGGAGATTGTTCAGTTCAGTCAGTTACAACATAGGACTAGGCACATATATGCATCGGTCCTAGTTGCCATACCTCATTAGCACAACAAGATCAACACCAATTTCATAGAAGTAGTTAATTTAGTGGTGGTAATATATAAAAGAAAGGTTGTATATAAGAACATAGTACAGGAAGGAAGACAGATATGAAGCAATTTTAATCTCAAGGTTTAAGGGGGAAGATAACGAGTGTATACACCTACGTCATAGTGATCGATTCTGAGCCATGTCACACAGAGTCTCCAACCATTGGTTACGATAGTCGTGCGGACTACAACCAAGTAGTCTGCATCTACCAACATGGCTTAGACTAGAAGTTAGTGACTTCAAGCACTGATGCCACGTTTTGGAGATTGTTCAATTTATAGTTAATTTCTATCATGTATGAATAAATAATTGATTCTTTGTGTTGTTTATTAGGTTAAATAATTGAATTTATGAAGTATATGAACAAAGAAGAGACAACCTATCACTTCAACTACTTATCCTATCACTACTACTACTACTAATATCAATGATGACATGTAATTCAACTATAAATGAAATACAACAGTATGATTTGAACTATTTGACTTCGATCAGTAACCCTTACAAACCTTCTTTGTTGAATGCTAAGAATTCTAACAATGACGATTCCTATCAAAATGGTTTGACCATATGTAATCAATCTCCTCACTATGAATATAGTTAAGACTTTACAGAGGCATAAATAATACAATACAATATAACTGAGGATATTTTAATAGAATAATTGGAACCGATGTGTAATGATTACATAGAATGAATGAATTTTAAGTGACCATGAGAAATACCAACTCCGCCTGTAGCTCTTCTAGAGTTACTGCCGGTCCCAAGCCCGGGTAAAGGAGGAGGGTTGGGCATGGGGTTAGCGACCCCATCCCGTAGAAAAGCTAACTCGCTAAAAAAACGCTAACCAGAAAAAATAATTCAAACCATTTAAACTCTGCCCTCCCAGTTGAAGGAATAATTATGACGTCTCATGATGAAAGCCGAAATTCTTCGGAAGTCACGAGACCGATGCACCTTCGAACAACCAGAGCAACACTCTTTATAGGTACATGGAACGTCCGGACAATGTGGGAAACAGGAAAGACCAGCCAAATAGCAATGGAAATAAGGAGATACAACTTGGCAGTACTCGGAATCAGCGAAACCCATTGGACACAAACTGGACAACAAATGCTAGGTACAGGAGAGATGCTGCTGTACTCCGGTCACGAAGGGGAAAATGCGCCACACACTCAGGGAGTTGCTCTAATGCTGTCCAAAGAAGCACGAAATGCACTTGTGGGATGGGAATTTCATGGACCCAGGATAATCAAAGCATCATTCAGAACAAAGAAGCAAGCGATCACAATGAATGTTATCCAATGTTATGCACCCACCAATGATAGCAACGACGATGATAAAGATCAGTTCTATGAAAGGCTGCAATCAATTATAGAGAAGTGCTCACGAAAGGACCTCACCATCCTTATGGGAGATCTAAATGCTAAAGTTGGAGTGGACAACACAGGATATGAAGATGTAATTGGACGACATGGACTAGGAGAGAGAAATGAAAATGGGGAGAGATTTGCAAACCTATGTGCTTTCAACAAATTGGTTATAGGCGGCACAATATTCCCACACAAACGCATACACACAGCTACATGGATCTCACCGGACCACACCACAGAGAACCAGATTGATCACATCTGTATCAACAAAAAATTCCGAAGATCAATGGAAGATGTGAGAACCCGGAGAGGAGCTGACATAGCTTCAGATCACCACCTGGTTGTGGCCAAGATGAGACTGAAGCTAAAGAAACACTGAACAACTGGACAAACAGAATTACAGAGGTTTAATACAGCCTTCCTTCGAGATACTGACAAACTCCATGAATTCAAGATAACTCTCAACAACAGGTTCCAAGCTCTACAGGATCTACTGAAAGAACAAGAAACTACTTTGGAGGACAACTGGAAAGGGATAAAAGAAGCACTAACTTCAACGTGTCAGGAGGTTCTTGGTCCTAAGAAGCACCATCACAAGGAATGGATCTCTATGGGGACCCTGGACAAAATTCAAGAAAGGAAGAACAAGAAACTAGCAATTAACAACAGCCGAACATGAGCAGAGAAAGTCAAAGCACAAGCAGACTACGCAGAAGCAAACAGAGAAGTGAAGAAAAGCATTAAAGCCGACAAGCAGAAATACATGGGAGAACTAGCAACGGCGGCGGAAAAAGCTGCAAGAGAAGGGAATATGAAACAACTATATGATACAACGAAGAAATTGGCAGGGAGATATAGCAAACCAGAGAGACCAGTCAAAGACAAAGAAGGAAAGACAATCACTGAGATTCAGGAACAGAGGAAAAGATGGGCAGAATACTTTGAGGTACTGCTGAATAGACCAGCCCCATCGAATCCACCGAACATCGAAGCAGCCCACACAGACCTTCCAATAGATGTCACTCCACCAACGATCGAAGAAGTCAAGATGGCCATCAGACAAATCAAAAGTGGGAAGGCGGCAGGACCTGACAATATACCAGCAGAAGCACTGAAGTCAGACATTGAAATAACTGCAAACATGCTTCACCTTCTATTCAAGAAGATTTGGAAAGCGGAACAAGTGCCAACGGACTGGAAAGAAGGATATCTTATCAAGATACCAAAGAAAGGAGATCTGAGCCTATGTGAGAACTACAGAGGCATCAGTTTGTTATCAGTACCAGGAAAAGTTTTCAACAGAGTGCTGCTGAATCGGATGAAAGACGCAGTAGACGCTGAACTAAGGGATCATCAGGCTGGATTCCGTAAGGATCGGTCGTGCACAGACCAGATTGCGACACTACGGATCATCGTTGAACAATCAGTTGAGTGGAACTCATCGACTATGAGAAGGCGTTTGACAGCGTGGAGAGGAGAACATTATGGAAACTTCTTCGACACTATGGAGTTACTGAAAAGATTGTCAACATTATCCAAAACTCAGACGATGGACTACAGTGCAAAGTGGTGCATGGAGGACAGCTGACAGATGCATTTCCAGTAAGGACCGGAGTCAGACAAGGCTGTCTACTCTCCCCATTTCTCTTCCTTCTAGTGATTGACTGGATTATGAAGAATTCGACATCTGAAGGGAAATACGGAATACAATGGACTTCTCGGAATCAATTAGATGATTTGGACTTCGTAGATGACCTAGCCCTCCTCTCTCATACACACGACCAAATGCAGATGAAGACAGCAAATGTAGCAGCAGCCTCCGCATCGATAGGCCTCCACATTCACAACGGAAAAAGCAAGATTCTCAAATGCAACACGGAGAACACCAACCCAATCACACTTGATGGCGAAACTCTGGAAGAGGTGGAAACATTCATGTACCTGGGGAGCATCGTTGATAAACAAGAGGGATCAGATGCAGATGTAAAGGCGAGGATTGGCAAAGCAAGGGCAGCATTTCTACAATTGAAGAACATATGGAACTTAAAACAACTGTCAACTAATTTGAAAGTGTGAATCTTCAATAAGAACATCAAGACAGTCAGTCCTACTGAACGGAACTGAAACGTGGAGAACTACTACATACATCGTCAAAAAGGTACAAGTATTTATAAATAGTTGTTTACGCAAAATACTCAACATTCACTGTTCGGATACTAACAGCAACAGCGTTTTATGGGAGAGGACAAACCAACTTCCAGCTGAAGAGGAAATAAGGAAAAGACGTTGGAAGTGGATCGGACATACATTAAGGAAATCACCAATGTGCATCACGACTCAATCCCTAACTTGGAATCCGGAAGGGAAGCGGAAAAGAGGAAGGCCAAAGAACACACTACGCCGGGAAATAGAAGCCGATATGAAAAGGATGAATAGCAAATGGAAAGGAAGGCTCAGGACAGAGTTGGATGGAGAATGCTGGTGAGCGGCCTATGCTCCTCGACGAGGGGTAACAGGCGTAAGTAAGTAAGTAAGAGAAATATCAGCCAATCAGAAGACAGTTGGTATAGAATAAAAATATATTATACAAAACCAAAAAAATTAGAGTGGGTACACTTCTTTTAGATGATCCAAAAACATGTCAAGGTTAGAAAGAGCTTCAAAATCGTAATGCATATAATAGAGGAGCTCATCCATATGGATCCATAATACTCGGTCTCTGGAGCCATGATAAGGTCACAAGAACTCTCTCATCCTCGACCACATAGCTTTAATATTGTTTGTATATAATCCAGTTGTGTAAGTTCGTCATTTTTATTACGCACATATCTCTACAACAGTCATACGTTTGAACAGCCGAAGCTTCAGTAACATTTGCGATTATTGCAACCAATGTTATTAGTGCTTTTATTACACAGTTCACAGCAATGATTATAGTTTGCCATAGTTTAAATCTGGATCAAGAGAAAAAAAGTTCCTATTCTAGCAGATGTCTTCCTCCAATATATATTACATCGAAAAATCGATTGTCCCCACTAATGTTTCGTTCACTACACTACTATGTACATTTAACTAACTTAAAATTACAATGAAGAAAATGATTTGTGTTGATCTGGTCCTAAAACAGAATAAGTTGTTCAATAAATTCATTCCAATCACGTAACAGGATGAATCAAAAAAACAGTGTAGGAAATATTCTGATTCACTTACTAATGAACTAAGATTATAGTTTCTAATTCAACCACTTCCTATTAGGATATTAACTTGGAATACAATCGTGCCTTGACTAAACTATATATATGACTAGTACACAACTAGAAATTTAAATTTACATTACAAAGGTAAAGATACCGGAAATATATTTACGTTTTGCGAAATAACAGTACTTAATCCGACACAATAAAATCTTAGGCTCCTAAAATCTTCATATAGACTAAAAGTTGGAATAGAAACATCAGTGAAGGCTCAGCGAATGGTTCAGAACAGAAGTAACTCTAATATCCACAAACTATGGGGCAAGAAAATGTAGACTAATTGATTTCTGTATGCTCAAGTCTTGATGTTAGAGAACGGTTCGAAATCTTCAGTAGCATCCAGCGAACACATATTATTATTTGAACACATAAGTATTGGTACAAAGGGGCACCAGATAAATATGTGCCACACAAATCTTATTTGATTTGTGTGAGGGCTGTGATACTGCTCAGGTGCCCAAACCGAAACAGGTGGTTTCCTTAGGGGGCCACACCCGGAGACTTTGACCTAAAGGTCTAGTCCACAAGGCAGTGGAGCATCGTAAGCAGATGCAGTCCCATGGTAGCCGGTCACCAACAGTTGGTTCATACGCCATTCGTTCCCTCAGGATACTGGAGCCCATGTGCACCATTCGTTTGGAATCAGGGTTTGCCAACTCCCCTAGGTGGATCCTCCTCATCCACCAACCTGGTTAAAGCGCCGGATATTCGCTTTTCGTCCTCTCACTTTTATGAACAACACCCCCGCCACGAGAAGGCAGTGAGTAGGACTTCCCTGGCAGAAGCTATATATTCGCGTGGCCATATGAGAGCATTTCGAGAGGGAGAGCAGACTCTCCCCACTCTCGGCCGTTCCAGGGCATTTGGGGACAGTGAACACATCACAAAATGTAGAATCTAACTAGTAAGTCTTATACATAAAACATATTAGTTACTTAACATTTATTGAGGAATATGAGAATTTACAATTATTCTGATACGATTTTTGAAAACTATTATTCTTTTGGGTATTATGATCTTATTAATATTCTAGACTTTCACTATCATTTTATAAGCCAAATTACTTGCATACATGTGTTTATTTAGTGAACTTTGAGCTACACTAAAGGTAGAGTTATTAACAATATCTGGCTATGCAAATAAATGTACTGAGAATGCGTTCAAACTAGGGGGTTCAATAGTTGAGAGTTGATGGCTATGACCGTAAAGATAGGTTTGTGCTGATGATGTCGTTAAGAAGAATGATGAAAGCTCTGCGACCAAACCATCCAGCACAGAGAACAAAACTTCATCAGAAAGGTTGGGAGTAGAATCCAGGATGCCCATTTCGTCCTACTTCGGGCTCGTCAGCTAGATCCCAGAGATGATATCCAAGTCAACAGCTTTTGCTTCAAACTTATGTTATTCACTTAACTACTGAGTTCAGATAGCCACTGGCTTGTGCAATGGAGTAGAGCTTAATTCGTTTGTATTGGTTATTTGAATCTTCACGAACGGTACTGGGTTCGAATCCCTGAGTGAACATCAACTCTGAGATGCAGGTACACCTGATAGAGCAGTCATAGGATTCTACTGCTAGCCACTATTCATCTCTACTTAAAAATGATTATGACTTAGTGTCAATATCGTCAGAATCTGCACAGGATGTACATATTCCAAAAGACTGATCAATCGTAGTCCTGAACATCGATGAGAAGATTCAAATAACCAGTGCAAATAAAGTATTAAGTGTATAGTTCTACGCCAATCTACAAACGAATAGATAAATCTTCATTACTCTCTTATCTCAAAGACTAAATTTTCTTTTTTCTTTTCAAAGAGAAAACTCAGTAAACGAAGGTATAATATTATTTGTTATTTGGTCAAGACCATATATAAAAAGAGAACAAAGTAAATGAAAACCCCATTACAATAATCCAAATCACAGATGATTAGGCAAATTGAATAACAAAGCCAATTGGTACACACGCGCACACACATACACACAACATCAAAGAGACTGAAGAAGACGAAAAAAGGACGAAACTATTCATTTAACTAATTTCGTATTTTTCCGCATGAAAATTGGATTCAAATGAAAAGTTAATTGGGGTATCCTGATTGCTCACAGTAGCTTCTATTATCTATAAATAAATAAACATGTAATGGTATAATGTAAATAATTTGCTTTAACAAGACAGAATGTGGTATAGTAACAGTGAAATGGTGACTTGGTAGCTGAAATGTTCCACTTTTATGTTATCATTGCAAACTATGATATCATCGACTATGATTTTAGCAAACAGGTACTATTATTAGTCCTCATACTTAAGAAAATGTATAATTCTATGTCGAGTACATAACCTTTACAGCTGCATAACAAATAATAAGTCATATTAGTAATTCAGAAAATGTCCTACCATAAAATGGCAAAGATGGATGTTGGTTAGCAGTGGAATCTAAGACGTACGTTTCGTCCTATATAGGACTCATCAGCGTTTAAAGCGAATGGTATTGGGTTCGAGTTCAGGGGTGAACATCAGTTTTGGGATGCAGTTACATTCAGCTTATGAGTCCCAAATAAGATGAAACGCGCATCCTAGATTTCACTACTAGCTACCACCCATCTTTGCTTATAATGCTTGTGACTGAAGAAAATATCGAGGCAATCCGCACAGGATACACATATGTCAATAATAGACTGACCAATTACAATCCTAAACATCAATGGAAAGATACAAACAAACACTACAAAACGAACATAAACTGGAAGATTAAAAGGGAAATTTGCAAGGTAGATAATGAGTTGGTTTTCAGCTTATTTATGTTTGTATACAAAGAAATACATAACTCATTAGCTATTCGGTAATTACTATTCATGGGAAAAGCAAACTCATACTGTTCACGACATGAAGTAAAATTTTTCCGATGAGGAAACAGTAGTAGTCATTCAGATACATTTTGACAGTGTACTTGCCACCTTAGTCATTATTAGCTAAATACTCTGGTATGACCAAGGGTAAGTGTTCACTCTCCCTCTCCAAATTCATATATAGTCACTATCAGGAAAATATTACTCACAGCCCTTCTCGTACTCGAGGTGATTTTTTATCAAATTGAGAGGACGAAAGGTGAATGCCCAACGAGGGTTTAAACTCGGTTCCTGCACTGTCTTGTGGATTAGACCTCTGGGTCAAAATCTCGGGGAGTGAACCTCTTAAAAAACCACCTACTTCGGTTGAGGCACTCTAGAAGTATTCTAGCTCACACAATAATTCCACAATTAGTGTGGCGCATATATACATTGGTCACCCTTTGTACAAATGTTTATAATAATATTTTTACATCCCTAGATATATAATCAATAATTTGTGTAGACAACTTTCGGTCATGAAAATCTTAAACGTACGATAATTATATTCCAAAACAAAGCTAACTAAATAAGTTCTAACACTTTCAGTCAGTCAGTCGCAACGTAAAACTTGCCATTAACCACTAACACAACGAAATGAGATTGTTAGGCCGAATCCCGGAAAAGTATAGGTAGTAACAATATAATTGTTGATAAGAAAGATTAGGCATCGAGGATACAATTCGAAAAAAATATAATTTGCTGGAATAAAAAAAAGTTAGGAGTAATTCAGAAGCTTAAAATTTGGAGGAAAACAAAGAATAGATGCACCAGCGCCATTGCAACCGATTGTGGGTCTCTAACACCACTGGTAACGAGAATCACTCAGATCCTAAACTGGTAGTCTACACCTATTAACATGCATCAGTCCAATTGTCAATGACTTCATGGGCTGATGCTATGTTATGGTTTAGTCCCTCCCTAAAAACATTATCTTAAAGTATACAAGACACATGTAAATATATGTTACCTGAATTCCACAGTATGATTTATTTGATCCAAAGTTTAATTTCAACGGGAAAAATTGTTCTGCTTGTGCACCACGTTCTGTTTTTAATGTGAACTCAAGGGAACCAGATGAATTTTCATTGTTAACTATGGGTATATGCCAGTCTAATTGGTTTTTACGTGGACTAACTTCATATTCTCCATCACAATTACCAATTAACGGAGGTTTAGTTGAAGGACTTTAATGGTAAAATAAATACAAACGAATATTATATGAAGTCCAGTAAGACAAATAAGGCGATTAATACAGTTAAATGAAAAATGAACTTGACATATCTATACATATACAGTCAGTCACAACGTAGAACTTCGTACGTACATACATTAGTTCGAGTTGTCATACCACATTAGCACAGAGATGAAGTTGTCGATTCAAATCCCATAGTGGTAAAAGTAGTAAGAGTATAAGCATTAACGTGAAAGATTAGGGTTTAAAGATGTTATTGAAGGAGTATAATACAATGAAATAAATTTGGAAAGAGAAGAAAGATAGAGACATGAAGAATTCAGAAGATTAGAATTTGGTAGAACACAAAAAGTGGATACACCTTCGCCATTGCAAACGATTTTGAGCCATGTCATTCAAGGTCTCTAACCATCGATTGCTATCATCTCGCGGATCCCAACCAGGTACACATACATATATACGAAAAATTGTTGTCTATGTACTTCAGAATCAGTTGAATTACAACACATGGAAAAGAATAAACTACATAGATGTTACAAATGTTTTTTTTCGGTTCAGACTTCCTCATATTTCACAATATAATAACTCTAACTAAGTCTAACAATAAATCAGCCATCTACAACGAAGGCGCAACCACATATATGCATCAATTTAAATTGCCAAAACTCATTAGCATAAGAAGATGATTATCAAATTCATAGTAGTTACTTTAATAGTAGATATATATATATAAATAAAAATTGTATATAAGATTATGATACAGGGAGAAAGAATTAGTTCGTAGAAAGAAAGGTATAAAGTAATTTTAATCTCATGGTTTTAGGGAATACAAATAGTGTACACACCTACGCCACTCTGATCGATTCTGAGCCATGTCAACCAGAGTCTCCAACCATTGGTTACGATAGTCACGTGGACCCCAATCAACTGGTCTGCATCTACTAACATGTCTCAGACCAAAAGTTAATCACTTCAAGCACTGATGCCACGTTTTGGTTTGGCCGCCCCTAACTTTCTTCCAACCATCCCCAACACTAGTCAGCATTGTGCATCGTGGTAATCGGTGTTCAGGCATACGTAATACGTAACGCAACCATCTCAGTCAATGAAGATTCACAACCTCATCAACTGATTTACCATCATTCCCGAATACCTTGTGTCTAACCTCACTCTTACTTACCCGGTGATCCCAGTAGATACAAGCAATAATTAAATACTAGTAATTTGCGAATATCTTCTACTTTTAATGGTCACGTTTCGCAGCCGTAAAGTAAAACATAGACTAGTTCTATATCTTGTTTGGCATTCATTCAATCTATTATTTATGCTAACCAGAACAGCACGTCAAATTAAACGGTGATTAGGTATATGAAACACAGGCAATTAGTCATAACTAATATGAAGCCAGGTACGAATGTGTATTGGGACAAGCTGTCACACTACGCATGAACACAAGATGAATGGTAAAGAAGTCAAAATAATCGTGATAGTAATAATAGTTACAGAGGCTAAATATTAAGAATATGGTTCAAGAAGACAGAATGAAAAGCCATGATTTGATAAACGTTGGAACTCAAAATATAAGGGAAGATAAAGTAATGGATGTATCTGAACTACTCTGGCAGATTCTGAGCTACATATCACTTAACGTCTGCAGCCACTAGTCACGATAATTGCGCAGAGCTCAACCAGATGGTCTCTATTTAATAACATGATTCAGTCAAACAGTCCATAACTATGTGGACTGATGTTACGTCTTGGTTTCAGCTCCACCTACCTTTCTTCTAAGCTACTCCTACATTAGCCAACAATGCAAGTCGAAATATGTGGTGGTAGGCTATATGTAACACATACCCGAGCCATTCTAGAGGAAGAAGATTCACAGCTTCAAAAGATAACTAGTACTATGGTTTTAACAATCGAACTGATAACTTTAATGTCCCACCGTAAATGAGCAATGCTTCAAAGACAATTATCGTCAACTGTTTGTCAACTACAATTAGAATTCTTCTTTAAAAGCCAAGCTTCATATTTGTGAAGAAATAAACAACAATATACTGAACAGTACACTTGCTTTGATACGAGCAGACACAAATCACATCCATGCTAAAAGTAGAATAAGTTAGTAAATGCAAATAGTACTGTTCCTTGTATTTGTTCCGAAATTGAGTCAGCTGTCAATCCAATAAGTTTAATGAGACACCCGTAAAATTAGTGAAATGATCAACAATCTCGCCACATATTATAAGACTGGAAAAACATACAGATCAGTTCACAACATAACATTTCATGTTCACGTAAGAGGAGCATATTTCAAAAAATAATTTTATTCCATTATCAACAAAATCAATAATTGACTGGTAACTAAACTGTTCAAATTATCCATAATCCAATACACTAAAATACGGTTTATAAGAACAAGAAAGTCTTTACCAAAGATGTGTTTAGTGAATCTATACTGATTGAGTGCTTCGTAAAACTAACTAACCCCCAAATGCCCTAGTACTGTCGACAGCAGAGAGAGTCCGCTCTCCCTCTCCAAATGCTCTCATAAGGCCACGTGTATATAGCCTCTGTCAGGGAAGTCCTACTCATTGCCTTCTCGTGGCATTACTGTTGTTTACAAAGTTGAGAGGACGAAAAGCGAATATCCGGTGCTTTAACCGAGCCGGTGAACACGGTGAGTCCACCCAGGAGAGTTGGAAAACCCTGATTCTAAACCAATGGTGCACATGGGCTCCAGTATCCTGAGGGAACGAATGGCATATGAATCAATCGTTGGTCACTGGTCACTATGGGACTGCATCTCCTCTGCCTTGCAGATCAGATCTTAAGATCAAAGGCTCTGGGTGTGATCCCCTAAGAAAACCATCTGATTCAGATTGGGCACCTGGGCAGTATCACAGCCCTCACACAAATCAAATAAGATCTGTGAGACGCATATATATTTGGTGCCTTTTGAACCAATATTTACGTGTTTAAATAAATAAATAAATAAAACTAACTTACGGCAAAGGTATTGACATAACTAGATTCTCCAATTCTAATATTGGATCTTGTAATTCATATTCAACATTTACTTCAAAGCCACCGGGTATTTCATTTGGCCAACAATTAACTAGAATGAAGACAGTAAAAAAATAAGTCATAAATACGAATAAAGTTACAGTTTACAATGCAATTCCTTGTGGAAAAAACAGCATAACAGACGATGTCCACATCCCAAGATTGAAGTAGGCAGAGCGATGGTTTAATCCTTAAAACATTTGGTTTTCAAACAGCTGTAAACCTTACTCCGACTGCTATGATTTGAGTTACCGGGAGATATCACCAGTCACACAAACACACGTGTCCAAAGCTGAGTACACAAATCTGTATTTTGTATGGATTTTATTATTGCTATTATCATTATTAAATGGATAAAAGTCTGATAATGTTCCATCTAATTTAAGAATTTCATAAGATACATTTGTCCAATAAGCTTTGAGTCACAAAATTAGAATTCAGAATTAAAGATCCTACCCGATTAACCAAAGCAAAGAAAACGGAGCGGTATTTAGACATACCCCAACCGTAACTGATTTTAAAGCTAACCACTACTGGGTTCTTCACCTATATAGGTTTACAAAAGTATCCCGACGAAGATTTAAGGTCCCAAACCAACACAAAGAACTTTTCTCGAATTTGAAAAATTGACTAAACAAATGGACGTTTTATCTGAGAATGAGAGAGAAACCTCTGAACGAAGTCATACTCATTTTGTCAGTTTCTGTTAGTATATTGATTTAAAGAAAAAGCATTAATTGGACAAAGTTGTAGGTAAATATACAACAGCTTACCAGTTATAGGAAGAGCAGCTTCATCGGAAGTTTGAAATCTCCATCGTAAAATACCAACTTCTTGACCATTTGGAAATGGTTTACCTCCTGGTTTGATTTGAATCCAACCAGTGGACTAAAGCAAATTTGACAATAATTAAGAGACATTATGATCAACTGCCTTATGGGATGGAGAATAGCTGAGCAAAGTAGAAGAAAAATGGTACCCCTAATGATAACCGATGCACACTACAGGATCCACAAGTACCAAAACGTCATTGGTGACCGAAAGACGAAGCTACAGAGGATAGTCACATCAGAACATTTGGAAATCTTGACAACAGTCATAGAGGTATCACGCAGACGACACAGAGAACAAAGAAGAAGCATCCTTAAGAAAAAAACTAATCGATATTTCAAAATCACCCACAGAAGGAAACACAAACAACTGCGTGGTCAACCTGTCAAAGCAACCACTAACAAACATAAAACACCTATTCCGAAAAGGATTAAACTACAATACAAGTGACGCCTCAAAACTGGAATTCTTCACCGCACTAGAGTCATCACTCAAAACGACCGGGATAAGTGAAGAAACTCAACAGGAAATAAAACAAACCATAGTACCGCTTGATGTCCGGCTTTTATCACGTGATTTATTCACTAATCAAAATACGACTTTTCCAGTCTTAGCACTGTGCCAAAAGAATGACGTTCGACCGGTATGAGCAGCCTAGAATACTTATTGGTCCTTTATCAACCTAACCCTTCCAGTTGAGTTCAAAACACCAAACATTTAATGGATTCATCCAGTCACTCCATCAAATCCCCCATACAATTCCTGGGTCAGATTGAGGACATTCGAATCAACAACGACGAGCTGATGATATCCTCCGATGTAACAGCCCTGAACAAGGAACGGACATAGTGCTATTTAAAGAGTATACATTTCATAAATCTCTATTCGAATCATTTGACAGGAAATGTTAAAGTAGCCAACGACTCCCCATTAATCAGTATGAAGAATTTAAACACATTGATACTAAATTAGTGGCTACATGATGAGGTGGTAACTGTAAGATATTAAAGTTCTTGGGTTAATCAGATGTAGTCTGGAAACCTTTAACTCTTTGGAGAGTAGATAACTTACAACATTTTATGATATCTAGCCAGGTTTGTTTTGTCTCAATATTTTGTAGATGTTATTTTATTATACAGAATAGCTATTCTACAAGGCAGCTGTCTTGTCTTTACTGAGACCTTACATCAATAATTCGGTCTCGTGAGCAGTTATCATTTAGATACATAGTACCATTGCATAACTTCTAGCGATCGGCGTTGTATTCATTCACTGTAACAGTTCAAAACTCACTTATCAAATCCAAACTTCTAACACAATGTAGTGATGATACTTCTAGATTGATGGACTGAAGTGAGTGACCACCATCGGCAGTCTGAAATCGTGTACTTGAAATCAATCAATAACTGAACGGCTTCTGAGAAAAATATATGTTATTTACATTGGAATACCATTTGAGTAGTATAAAGAAAGAGAAACTCACCGTGAAAGCTTTCTTATCAATGTTAGGATGTGTTTGAAGTTGAGCAGGTGGGCGATGTTCATTGGGCGGATTTGTACACATACTTGTATCCACTCTGATTTTTGCTTCACAAGCTTCATTTGTGATAGCTTGCGCAAACATTGTACCTTGCAACTCCATACTTTCTAAACCACCATCACGACCAGCTTGAACGATTAACTTCTCTTCAATTCGTAAATGCAGACTGAAAAAAACATGTCGATTACTGGCTATTGAAATATGTAAACTTATGGTTGAAAAAATGACGAGAATGCAAATAAACTCTTAAGCCATACTACTACTGAAACGATTTAGCTTTCGCTACGGACCTATAATATAAAGACTGTAGACAGTAGATGGTTACTTAGTAGCATGTAGTAAACAAAAATTCATGCTTCCTCATATAAGCCAAGAAATTTTAGGAGACATAATAGTTGTGACAATCAAATTAAGCTTTACGCAGGGTTACTCTTCTAAGTTGTATTGTATCATAATGCTTATACTCAAATATGTTTTAGGATACAATTAAAACTAATCGTGACTTACCATTTTGCCATCTACTTGTATCCCTCGTCTAACAACTCTGACATCTACAAGCGCACAATTATTCCACTTAGTACCTAGTTGTTGCCACAGATATTCGAGAAGAAAAGAAGACCAAATCAAGACGCAGCATCAATTAATGAAGTGATTGACAGTTGGTCTGTATGGTATTGGATGCTGTAAACTGTTTAGTTTATATTACTTAGATTTCTATAATCTATAAGTGTTGAAACTGGATAGCATATTTTAAAATTGATTGCAGTAAATTGCATTCCGTTCTATTCTTATTTTAAATCTAGAGCATAACACAGTCCTGTACTCTGTGTTTTACGATTTTGTCTGCTTCACAGCTGTCCACCACTATTATTACAAGATATCTAACTAGTTTTCTTGAAGTGTACCGGTATGAGGTAAGTTTGATTGTTGTACGTTCGTCTCAGGTCCTCTATGCTTTATAGATGAATGTGCTTTAATGCCAACTTGATTGTACTTGTATAATATTAAAACTTTTAAACTAATACAAGTAGAAGATCGATATAAATTAATGTATACTTTTCTTTGAACCAAAAAACATGTTTATTCTACAAAATAATTCTTCTTAGACTCTAAAACATACAACTTACTTTTCTTTCTTAACATGTGATTTTTGAGTTAAAGCAGTTGAATTAGTACTCATTAAGTTATCTGTTCCGCCTGATCCGCTAACTAATTTCATAACATCTTCATTGACCACTTCACCTTCAGCTTTTAGACGATTTACAAACTGATCAATGCTTTTTAAACCACCCTGTCCACCACCAAGTTGCATACCACTTCGTTTCACTGATGCTAAGATAGTTGCTGTATTTGTAGTAGGCAAACTTTGAATATCTGTATTCCCATCTCCCAAACGATCTTTCACGACGATTACACGAGGTTCATCTGTTGGTAAAACAATAATAAGAGCACACACATAGAAATCAGCCATGAGAATGGTTGTTCTATTTTAAAAATTTCGCAGTTGAATTTAATAACTAAACAAACCTTACAAACAAATAAATGGTGTACTATGTTACACTGAAAGTTTTAGCAAGAGGCATGTGACAAAAAACTAATACAGCTTCAAATGCCCATATAGCATAGCTCCAAAATGCCCTGGTACGATCGAGGGTGAAAAGAGTAAGCTCCCTCTCTCTAGATGCTCCCAAATGGACAAGTGTATACAACCATAACCACGCAAGTCCTACTCACTGCTTTCTCACACTACAGGTGTTGTTTACGAAGTTGAGGGGACGAAAAGCGAAATATTCGACGCTCTAATCATGTCGGTTGATATGGAGGATGCCCATAGATAGTTGGAAAACCTTGATTCCGAGACAATGGTGAGCATGGGCTACATGGTTCCAAATGGAACAAACGGCGTATAAACACATTGTTGCTCACCGGCTACCGTGGGACTGCACCTCCTAATTTTTCAATATTTATTTATTTGAACACATAAATATTGGTACAAGGAAGCACCAGATAAATATGCGCCTCACAAATCTCATTCGATTTGTGTAAGGGATGTGATAATGCCCGGGAGCCCAAACTGAAGTAGGTGGTTTTCTTGGGGGACCACACCCGGAGACTTTGACCTAAAGGTCTAGTCCACAAGGCAGTGGAACATCGTAAGCAGATGCAGTCCCATGGTAGCCGGTCACCAACAGTTGGTTCATACGCCATTTGTTCCTTCAGGATCCTGGAGCCCATGTGCACCATTCGTTTGGAATCAGGGTTTGCCAACTCCCCTAGATGGATCCTCCACATCCACCAACCTGGTTAAAGCGCCGGATATTCGCTTTTCGTCCTCTCACTTTTATGAACAACACCCCCGCCACGAGAAGGCAGTGAGTAGGACTTCCCTGGCAGAAGCTATATATTCGCGTGGCCATATGAGAGCATTTTGAGAGGGAGAGCAGACTCTCCCCACTCTCGGCCGTACCAAGGCATTTAGGGGCTAAATTCCGTCGCGAGCAGGATTTGAACCTGCGCGGGGAAACCCCATTGGATTTCTAGTCCAACGCCTTAACCACTCGGCCATCGCGACACACCTCCTAAAGTTGCTCCACTATCTTGTGGATTAGACCTTCAGGTCAAAGGCTCTGGGCGTGGCCCCCTACGAAAACGATCTGCTTCAATTTGGGCAACCGGGCAGCATCAAAGCCATTACACATATCAATGATAACTGCTATTGACCTCATTGTTATTTTGTGATGGATGTATTTGGTGCCCACTTGTACCAATGTTTATGTGTTCAAATAAATAAGTCAGTCAGTCAGTCAGTTACAACATAGAACTTCGTACGTACGTACATTAGTTCGAGTTGTCATACCACATTAGCACAGAGATGAAGTTGTCGATTCAAATCCCATAATGGTAGAAGTAGTAAGAGTATAAGCAGTAATCGGAAAGATTAGAGTTTGAAGATGTTATTGAAGGAGTATAATACAATGAAATAAATTTGGAAAGAGAAAAAGGATACGGACATGAAGAATTCAGATTAAAATTTGGTAGAACACAAACAGTGGATACACCTTCGCCATTGCAAACGATTTTGAGCCATGTCATTCAAGGTCTCTAACCATCGGTTGCTATCATCTCGCGAATCCCAACCAGGTAGTCTACACCTACCAACATGGCCCAGTCCACTTGTCAGTGACTTCATGGATTTATGCCACGTTTTGGTCTGGCCACCCCTAGCTTTCTTCCAACCTACTTCTACACCATAAAGCATTGCACGTCGGGGAAGTCGATGGTTGGGCATACATAACACATATCCCAGCCATCTCAACTGGTGAAGTTTCACTACTTCATCAATCGATTTGCCATCCCTACCTAGTACTCATTTCCTAACATCTGCATTACTTACCCGGTGGTCCCAGGATATACGAGCAATGCGTCGAAGACACCTATGATCGAACACTAGTAGCCTACGAACATCCACTACTCTTACTGACCATGTTTCACTGCCATAAAGTAAGACGGAACGGACTGCTGCACAGTAAACCCGTGGTTTTGTCGGTTTATGCGATTCAATGTGCTTAAAAACCCTTCCCTCACAATGGATACTGAATCTCCTGTATCCAGTAGAATAGTAGTCTGTAGCCCCTGTAAACTACCAGCTATGGTTATCGGATATACTGATTCATAATAATATGAAGACAAATGGGAAAAACTGGTCTCACCTGGCTTCCAAAACTTATTGTGCCAACATTTTCGGGCTCTCCGCCCAAAGCGTTGGCAGTAAAAACACTCCATCTTCCGGTTATGTTGACTAGTTGGCAGCGACTGTCTATCAGGGCGCCGTTTGACCGCAGAAACAGTTTGAGTGAAGCCGGACTGACGTGGTTCTCCAGGCTGGTCAATAGCATTCGCTGACAACTGCGGTGTATTGACAGCGTTTGATAGCTTGTCTGCGGCAACGAACCGGAGAACTGTGGTTCTTAGGTCTTGAATGCTTTTTGGTGGCATGTACAGAAGGTGCTGTCGTAGTGCACCTGGCAAAAGGCCTTCTGTAAATCTTGCGCGTATTATTTCTTCCCGAATAGAGACGTCTAAGCTTGGGAAGGCTACTATTACTGCTTGCTGCAGGGAGTGTAGATATTCCACGGGTTCCTCACTGGTTTTCTGGTGACGCGACAGGAACTGCATGGTCCCCAGCTGCGTGTCTACTGTTAACGAAAAGCATTCATCAAGAACCTTCCAGTTTTGGGCAGATGAGTTGCTTGCGGTAAAACCATTGGCAATCGCCCTCTTTGTCGCTTCATCGTCTAAACACGACAGGAGGTAGTCAAAATGTTCGGTAGCTGGAACCTTACGTAGATACGTCGTAATCCTGACCTTCCAAATAGCATAATCCGATGAGACTCCCAGTAGTGGTGGCTGGCGGATGATTGCACCGGTTGCTGACTTGCTTGGAATGACCGGTGGTTCCTCATAGTTTTCATCGCGTTTTGACGTAAACACCTCCATCATCAGTATGTAGCGATTCCCTTTCTTTGTTGTTGTTAATGGTCCCATGATATCTATGCCGATCCGCTGATGTGGTCCTGTGGTCACCATCGGGGTTAATGGTACACGAGGTGTCTGTCGAGGCGATTTGAAACGGCAGCACGTATTGCAATTTTTGCAAATTTGCACTACATCTTAGTGCATGGATGGCCACCAAAAGCGCTGGCGGACCGCGTATTCCGTCCTTCGTTCTCCTGCATGACCTAGTTCGCGGTGCATCTGCTCCACAATGCTCTCAACTTTTATCCGTGGTACTACCAATAGAGGTTGTCTCGCTTCGTTAATTAAGAATAACGTGTCGCCATATAATTTTAGATTACTCCATTTAGTGTAAATACGACGAGTTGTTAATGATTGATCCTTTAACTCTTTCATGGATGGTTTATTGTTTCCCTGTAACTGTCTTTGATATAAAATCTGCATGTCTGGGTCTGATGCTTGCAGTCATAGCGTACGCTATGACCCTCTCCTGTCCATCTTGTTGTTGTTTGAGAAAGGACTGCTCCGGTAGCTGACGAGCTAGCATCAGTGTCAAGTATAAACTCACCTCTTTATCTGAAGTGTCTGGAAAAGCTAGTATGGGTGGAGCAGCAAGACATGATAGATTGACCTTCCCTGCAAGCAGCAGACGCAGACATGCAGATTTTATATCAAAGACAGTTACAGGGAAACAATAAACCATCCATGAAAGAGTTAAAGGATCAATCATTAACAACTCGTCGTATTTACACTAAATGGAGTAATCTAAAATTATATGGCGACACGTTATTCTTAATTAACGAAGCGAGACAACCTCTATTGGTAGTACCACGGATAAAAGTTGAGAGCATTGTGGAGCAGATGCACCGCGAACTAGGTCATGCAGGAGAACGAAGGACGGAATACGCGGTCCGCCAGCGCTTTTGGTGGCCATCCATGCACTAAGATGTAGTGCAAATTTGCAAAAATTGCAATACGTGCTGCCGTTTCAAATCGCCTCGACAGACACCTCGTGCACCGTTAACCCCGATGGTGACCACAGGGCCACATCAGCGGATCGGCATAGATATCATGGGACCATTAACAACAACAAAGAAAGGGAATCGCTACATACTGATGATGGAGGTGTTTACGTCAAAACGCGATGAAAACTATGAGGAACCACCGGTCATTCCAAGCAAGTCAGCAACCGGTGCAATCATCCGCCAGCCACCACTACTGGGAGTCTCATCGGATTATGCTATTTGGAAGGTCAGGATTACGACGTATCTACGTAAGGTTCCAGCTACCGAACATTTTGACTACCTCCTGTCGTGTTTAGACGATGAAGCGACAAAGAGGGCGATTGCCAATGGTTTTACCGCAAGCAACTCATCTGCCCAAAACTGGAAGGTTCTTGATGAATGCTTTTCGTTAACAGTAGACACGCAGCTGGGGACCATGCAGTTCCTGTCGCGTCACCAGAAAACCAGTGAGGAACCCGTGGAATATCTACACTCCCTGCAGCAAGCAGTAATAGTAGCCTTCCCAAGCTTAGACGTCTCTATTCGGGAAGAAATAATACGCGCAAGATTTACAGAAGGCCTTTTGCCAGGTGCACTACGACAGCACCTTCTGTACATGCCACCAAAAAGCATTCAAGACCTAAGAACCACAGTTCTCCGGTTCGTTGCCGCAGACAAGCTATCAAACGCTGTCAATACACCGCAGTTGTCAGCGAATGCTATTGACCAGCCTGGAGAACCACGTCAGTCCGGCTTCACTCAAACTGTTTCTGCGGTCAAACGGCGCCCTGATAGACAGTCGCTGCCAACTAGTCAACATAACCGGAAGATGGAGTGTTTTTACTGCCAACGCTTTGGGCGGAGAGCCCGAAAATGTTGGTACAATAAGTTTTGGAAGCCAGGTGAGACCAGTTTTTCCCATTTGTCTTCATATTATTATGAATCAGTATATCCGATAACCATAGCTGGTAGTTTACAGGGGCTACAGACTACTATTCTACTGGATACAGGAGATTCAGTATCCATTGTGAGGGAAGGGTTTTTAAGCACATTGAATCGCATAAACCGACAAAAACCATGTTCCTCCACACTAAAAACAGCCAGTGGTGACCTTCTGGATGTACGGTCTAAGGTGTGGTTGGAGGTAACGGTGAATAAACACTCATTCCTACACGAATTTTTAGTATGCCACACACTCACCTGGGATGTTATACTTCATGTTAAAATACGACGTCGTTATACACGTAGCTAAGGCGGAAGCTCGAATCGGGGAAGTAACTGTTCCAACACATCGCCTTAAGAACGCAACTAAGTCGGTAGCTCACGTAGGGGTGTCGGAAGTCATACACCAGGTACAAACCAATAAACAAGTATCAGAGGATGTCCGTCTATCAACCATTTCCTTACTTCAAAAATTTAGTTCTGTTTTCTCAGAGAATATCTCTGGTAATCGGACGACCACGGTACAACACTCTATTCCCACAGGTGATCATATGCCATTACGTCAACCACCCCGAAGAGTACCGGTACACTATCTGCCTCAGTTAGAATCAATGATAAAAGAGATGTTAGAGAAAAAGATTATTGTGCCATCTTCATCACCGTGGGCTTCACCCATTGTTTTAGTGAAGAAAGACTCCTTCCTTCGATTATGTATAGATTACCGTAGCCTTAATGCTATAACAAAGCGCGACTCCTTCCCACTACCATGGATTGATACAACATTGGATGCTACGAGAGGTGCGTGTTGGTTTTCGACTTAAGACCTAGGATCCGGATACTGGCAAGTAGAAGTACGACCTCAGGATAGAAAAAAGACGGCATTTGTTGTACCAAATGGTCTCTACGAATTTCAGGTGATGCCTTTCGGGTTAACTAATGCCCCAGCAACCTTTCAAAGACTCATGCAGACGGTTCTACATGGCCTGGTACCACACAAATGTTTGATTTACCTTGATGATATTATTGTTTATGGCAGCACGCCTGAACAGCATAATGCCAACTTAAGGGCGGGCAGTCTTACAGCGCATTAAGCAGTACAATTTAAAGGTGAAACCGTCCAAATGTCGACTCTTGCAGAAAGAAGTACTCTTTCTAGGACATCGCATTACAGAGGATGGAGTAGCAACAGATAAAGAAAAAACGAGCGCCATTATTAATTGGCCACAGCCGAAATCTGCGGAGGAGGTACGTAGCTTCTTGGGGCTCTCTTCTTACTATAGACGTTTCGTGCGCGATTTCGCATCCCTAGCAGCACCTTTACATCGCCTGACGCATAAAGGACGAAAATTTTTGTGGACCACAGAATGCCAACAAGCATTTAACACCCTGAAATCATGTATTGCTGCTCCACCCATACTAGCTTTTCCAGACACTTCAGATAAAGAGGTGAGTTTATACTTGACACTGATGCTAGCTCGTCAGCTACCGGAGCAGTCCTTTCTCAAACAACAACAAGATGGACAGGAGAGGGTCATAGCGTACGCTAGCCGGCGGTTAGATAAAAGGGAGACAAGGTATTCTACGACGCGCCGAGAGATGCTGGCTTTGGTAAAATTTTTGCAACATTTTCGTCACTATCTCCTAAGGCGCCCTTTTCGTGTACACACAGACCATCGTGCATTACAGTGGCTCCGCTCCTTCCGCGAGCCAGAGGGGCAAGTGGCACGCTGGCAAGAACGACTACAAGAGTTCGATCTCACATGCGAGTACCGACCTGGAAGCCGACATACAAACGCAGACGCTCTTTCCCGCATACCTCAAACCGCAGGTACTGTTAATGCAGTTCTTAGCACAGCCCTAGAGATCGATTGGCCTTCCCTGCAAGCAGCAGACGCAGACATGCAGATTTTATATCAAAGACAGTTACAGGGAAACAATAAACCATCCATGAAAGAGTTAAAGGATCAATCATTAACAACTCGTCGTATTTACACTAAATGGAGTAATCTAAAATTATATGGCGACACGTTATTCTTAATTAACGAAGCGAGACAACCTCTATTGGTAGTACCACGGATAAAAGTTGAGAGCATTGTGGAGCAGATGCACCGCGAACTAGGTCATGCAGGAGAACGAAGGACGGAATACGCGGTCCGCCAGCGCTTTTGGTGGCCATCCATGCACTAAGATGTAGTGCAAATTTGCAAAAATTGCAATACGTGCTGCCGTTTCAAATCGCCTCGACAGACACCTCGTGCACCGTTAACCCCGATGGTGACCACAGGACCACATCAGCGGATCGGCATAGATATCATGGGACCATTAACAACAACAAAGAAAGGGAATCGCTACATACTGGTTATGGTAGATTACTTTACTAAATGGTGCGATGCAGTACCCCTTACCCAGCAAGACGCTCTTACGGTTGCCCGAGCTTTCATCGTTCATTGGGTTTGCCGTTATTGCGCCTCCTCACTTCATTCTGATCAAGGTCCAGCCTTTGAAAATCACCTCATCGCCGAGATGTGCAAGCTTTTGGGAATCAGGAAGACACGAACCACTGCGTATCACCCAGAAGGTAACGGGCTGGTAGAAACAACAAACAGAAGTATTAAAGCCATATTGCAAGCGTTTGTGAGCAGATCGTCGCAGGAGTTATGGGCTGATGTCCTTCCTCAGTGTCTTTTAGCATATCGTGCATCGGTATATGGCTCCACCGGGTTTTCACCCGCTATTTTATTATTCGGGCATGAATTACGCTTACCAGTGGAGATACAGACGCCCCTGCTGCCCTGCGAAGAACAGGAGCATGTACCGTACATACGTACTCTCCGTAACCGCTTAGCTGATGCATACCGCTTGGTCAACAGCAATTTGCGCAAAGCTAGTGAACATCAAAAGGACTTGTACGATCGTCGGGTGCACGGACCAGTGTATAAGGTCGGTGATCGCGTTTGGCTACGTCGTCCCATGACATCGTCAGGGAGTTGCAGTAAGTTCCACCAGCCATGTCAAGGCCCCTTTGAAATCGTCCTCATCCGATCCCCCACTAAGTTCGTAATACGTAACTTGCAACGACCCCAGGATGACGTGATAACTGTACACTATAACCAAATAAAACCAGATAGGATGACAGTTTCCTCGGATGCCCAGTTCGCCAATCCACCACCTGCCACTACGTTTTATGAAGTACCATCAGAAGAGAGGACAGCATATCCATGTCCGAGACCAGGCATTGAGGACAGGACAAATAAATAAATAAATAAAATAGTAGCATAGCAAAATTTGAAACATCCCATGACACCTTAGAGCTTACGGGAATTTCTCTGATCTAACCTGTTTAGTTGTATTATGATAAATACTCATCCAGATTCGAATCCAAATATGATAATAGAGATACTTATCCGCTCAAAAAAATAGTAAGAAATGCAAAGTGATTCATGTCTGTAACAAGAAATTCGATAAAAACTGGACATTTGTTATACCTGTGACTAGTAATCTACCACTAATAGCTTTATTTAAACATTCTAAATGCTCATGTACTACAATCTCATAAAATAAGTCGGCCTGGAGGTAGTCAACCGGCACATTCAATGTTTATTCAGTTTACCAGCTGCTTTCCATCATATCAAAAATATGCACAACAAATTATGCTGTAAATGAATGTCCAGTATTAACAATAATTGTCTTCATTGAATAAATCAACATTTTCTAATATCATAAAACAGTGGTCACTTCGCAAATGGTAAGCTGCAGGATGCCGATTTAGTAACTGATAACGATTTTGTGGCAGATTTTACAAGCTTATAATGGCTTGCATGCAAATATTCTTATCAAACCTTGAATTTTACTTAACTACTGATTTGTAACACACATAAAGTACGGTGAAGTAAGAAGTGGGGGCAGTACCAAGCTTTAAATCAGTACTCAATAGGTTCGAACCCCGCACCATGTAACCTGGTTTAGGCACTTGCGTAATATCCTAACCTCCCAAAAAAAGAACTCATAAATGAGTACACTAACTAGTACTTGAAAAGTGAGTTACGTAAAAAACGAGATCATACAATAAATGGGTAAACCACTTAAGGTAACATGAGAAAGGTGACTGCCTTAAAATTTTGACACATTAGTATACAATATTTTGCTTCCATTACAATTCAAGTAAACACAGGAAAGCTTACTTAAATCATTTGACAGACCTCCCATTCCTTTCCCACCACGATAATTGGAGAATCCTGAGAGATTCATACCACCTGAGCGCTTTCCAGCTTCTAGTCGAGCCTGTTGTAGTTCACGTGCTCTCTGTTTCATCTGCTCTTTCGCATCACGTTCTTTGTTCTAGAGAGCAACACATGAAAATGAATTTGTAAAAGATTAGAAAAATCTAAAGCGAAACTACTAACTGAAGTTGTGTCTCCAAACCCAATAGAGGAATGTGAACTTTAGTGATGTTACTAATACAAAAGTGAAGAAATAGACAAATTTTTGACAATGTAAAACTCAAGACTTTTTTAAACAAAAGAGAAATATCCCCAGATGGAGTAATTGAAAACATACCTCCTGTACAGCACGGAACACGCGTTCATCATGTGAGTCCATTTCCGTATATGTCCGAATTTGTGACAGGTTAACATCTTCTCTATAGCCTAGAGCTATGATTTCATCAAATGCGAAAATAAGTTGGAAAGCATGTGTCAGTACATCGTTTTCATCGGTACCACAAGCATATTCCGGTATCTATAAACACAAGAAAAGAATACCTAATTAAAGAGAACATTAAAAGCAAAATGATCAGTGAGAATATGTCCTAAACGTACCACACGTGCGAACAGCCGTAATGTCTCCAAATCTTCCAGTATATTGCTAGCTTTCGTAGTAATCAGAAGAACATACAATTTTTCCAACGGTTGGTAAACATACCGCACAGATTCTGTTTCCACAAATGTATGCTGTTTACCTAGAAGGCAAGAAATATAAGCAATAAAGGTCCTGGTAAGCTAAAAATTTGCTATGTTCATGATTCAAATAGGTAAGAGGAAAAGAATCCTCAGACTTGTGACTTTACATTCCTTCAAGGCGAATACTGAGAGTCGATACTATTTATGAGAAGTAAAACAATGCATCAACGCAGTTGATGTGACGCATATGAAAAGAACCAGTTTTATTTATTTATTTAAACACATAAATATTGGTAAAAGGAAGCATCAGATAAATATGCGCCTCACAAATCTCACTTGACTTGTGTGAGGGCTGTGATACTGCCCAACACCCCCGCCACGAGAAGGCAGTGAGTAGGACTTCCATGTCAGAGGCTATATATTTGCGGGGCCATGTGACGTCATTCGGAGAGGGAGAGCGTTTTTTCTCCACTCTCGGCCGTACCAGGGCATTTGGGGCAAGTACAATTACGAAGACTTAAATCCTTAAAACAAGTAGAATTCGATCTAAGAACTCTTGAGTTTACAACTTTTTGTTACGCTTTGATACGAAGAATATCAGCTGACAACTGCAGTGTATAAATTTCAACGTACTAGCGTAACAGGTATGTTATAAATGCATGGTAAGTTTACGCGTTCACATTCCAAAAAATATAAACTGATGAGTAATATATATATATATATATATATATATATATATATATATATATATAGTTTTCCGTTTCAAAGAAAAGCGATTAGGTCAAGTGAGACTGGATGAAAATAGTACATCAACTAGAACTACAAGTCGTGTACCACAACGTTTCATATGGATACGAGGATCACTTAATATATAAAGCTTTTAAGCCATGTATTCTTAATCGCTGAACAATAACACACTTAAATGGGAACATAACTGACTGACAATATTTCTATAGCAACCAGAAAATCTAAAATATGGAAGCCCATAATTGCAGAAACAGGAAAACGGTTAAATTGTGACAAATTTAGCTGAGTACGATTGGAGCTGAATAGGAAGAATTATCTTGCACTTATTGAACACGATTTATGGATTCAAAGGCACGTAAAACAAACAAGAACCATTAGTCTTTGAGAAATACAAAACGAAAACTAACCTGTCCCAAGAAGCTTTGGAAAGGTGGCTATTAATCCTTCAATTCTCGCCTTCGTCATTTCCACAAACTGTCGAGATACCAGAGCTTAAAAGATTAAATACAAATTTACACAGTGAACATACCTTTACCATCGCGAGTACACACAGAGGCAGCCAACAAAACCTTAAATTTTGGATGCTAGAGAACATACAACTCACCATCGCGCCAACCTGTCACGTTTGCAATTAACCGCCTATCACTTCCAATATCCAATCTATATTTTTTGGAAACTTTGCTCCAGTTATAAGAGTATTAGTAACGCATTCAAAATCCGACTTTAAAAACTCTTGAGATCAATGAATAAGTCGCCTTAATTTCATATTCTTGTAATTTACAATTATTATTGAATGCGTTGGTTGTTAAATGAACATGCGTAATACATCATTACTGAGTCCTTGAATTACTCTCTTTTACGTCTTTCCCTAATTCAGATCCTCTCTTATGCAATGATCCTGGGGTTAATCAATTACTCTATATAACTTTAGCCTATATTCATACCCCTACATCTTCGAATCTTATCGGCAGACTTGATCTTGAACGATTATACGCGTCTGACCGCGTAGCACTTTACAGCAAGCCATATGACCGAACGGTTCAATAGTTTTTCAACAGGATGAAAGAACCTTTCCCCTAACCAGCTCTCAATTCTGATACAAATGGTTTGAGACAGGAATTTGAATATTCGAAACAGGCAAGAATAAAAGAAATACTAAAAAATTAGGAAAGGATGCTGATTCTGGGTCCTTTAGAATAAATCAATGTCCCTACTGAAAAACTACCGTTTGTATGAATAAATGATTATTTCGTATTGATGACTGCTTGATTTGGAATTCCGAACACAATACATTCGTTCGTGTTTATCTAGTACTTTTTGATGAAATTGCGTTATTTCTGTGATTCCTAGTTTACATAATTTAATTCAAATACTTCTATCTATCACTTTGGCGTCGCGATGGAGCCTGCGATAGAACAGTTGGATATTCATTTGCCTTCTGAAGTTTTTGAGGATTATTCGGAAAGGTTTGAGATATGGAGCATGAACAAGAAAGATGTGAAGGGTGATAAGATTGTTGCACACTTCCTCACATTCATCGTTAACGAAGCCTACTATTCGTTAAAAACTTCGGCATATCCAGGAAAGCCTATTTCACTCCCTATAAAAACTCTCAAGTAACTATCGAATCATATATAGTGCACCAGTTTCGAGCGTCGTAAGAGAACAAAATCTCATAAGATGATTCCTTAGAAAAACCAAAATGTCAGTTTTTTCATCCATGAATTGCAAAGACAAGCTGCCAAATGCAATTTTGGTGGTCAACTACATGTACAGCTGAGAGATCGATTAATTTCAGAAATTAAGAATTGTTCATTTACTGGACACAGACTGCCCATAAGAGGATGCTGTGAATTGCTAGTAAGAGATGATAATTCTCCATATATACCTTGTGAATTTCTAGTCAGTGAAATAGGACTATTATTACGGGGTTTAAAATATCTGAAAAAGCTTAAAAGGGAATTGTCTTTACTGGATTCTACAGAAAATGCTGATGCTTTACTTAGAGATCTGATAGCTGTGTGTGCTAAGTGTAATGGATGTATGAAAATGCAGCCTACAAAACTTCAATTACAGCGTGGTCCAGTCTTTCGTAGAAGAAAAAAAATAATTCCTCATGGTCTTCGAGAAACAGTACTAAAGTCACTTAAACGATTTGTGCGCGGAAGGTATAATTGAACCGATTCAGGCTTCAGCATGAGGTACTTCTATTGTTATGCTATTGAGGTCGGATGACAGGACCCAAAGAATATATGGTGATTATATAACAACACTAAATCCTCGTTTGTTGAAGCAAACGTTGGAAGCTGAAGATATTCTAAATCAACTTTGTGGTTTTAAAGTGTTTTCTAAAGTTGAATCAAAAGATGATTATCTCCAAATCCCATTAGATCTATCTTCATCTATTTTGAAAACAATTACCACTCATTTTGGTCTGTTCAAATACAACTTCCTTCCACTTGGTCCAAGTGGTTCTCTAGCCATATTTCAGGAACTTATGAATAAGGTTGTCAGTGATCTTGAATGCGTTGACGTTTATCAAGATGAACTCATCGCTCATGGTACTGATATAGTAGCTCATGACCAGGGACTTATTGCTTCATTGCGTCGTGTAATCAAGAAGAATATTACAGTGAATCCAAATAAGTGTTCATTTTGTTCATCTAGTTGCCAGTGTCTTGGATACCTAGTTGATGGTTATGGTTTTTGACCAGATATGAAACGACTAGCTCAACTGATAAATGCACTGTCTCCAAAACATTTTACTGAACCACGTTCACTAGTAGGTGCTTTTCAATACTATTCCTGTTTCATTCCTGATTTTTCTCGTTGTGCCAACCGTTTATTTATTATTTTACATATAATTCACTCAAATGGGATGAGGAACAAGAGTCATGCATAAGAAGTCTACTGAAGTTTCTTCAGAGTGATGCTGTTCTCCAAACTTAATCACCCAGTATACATTATGTATTTATTACTGATACATCACCTGTGGGTGTTGGTGCAGTTTTGGAACATGAAGATAGATAGATTATCTGTGTTTCACAAAAACGTACTGTCACTGAACAAGATTGTTCACAAACTCAGCGAGAAGCATTAGCTCTGTTTTGGGCTGTTATAAAACTTCAGAATTATTTATTTGGAGGGAAGTTTACCATTGTTACTGATCAAAAAGCTTTAAAGTTTATTTATCACCCTGAAAAATCTTTAGCACGTCCCTCAGCTATTATGGTTCAAAGATAGAGTATTGCTTTGTGTGCCTATTACTATACGGTTCAGCACAAGAGTGCCAAACAAATTCAACATGTTGACCATATTTCTTGACAATCATTGCAAGATTGACCCGTTAATACTTCAGACTGTTCGTTAGTGCAACCTTTACTGGTGAGACGTCCAGATCTCATTAGAGAAACTCGTAAATACATTGGATGTATACTCAGTGCTATACACAACGGTTGGTATACTAACGTGAAACGTAGATTTCCTGTCTATTTTTCAAAGCGGGATGAGCTGTCTACTACTTCTGATGGTATTTTGTGTCTAAATGGCTATGTTGTTAGTCCTCCTTCTTTACGTAAATCTGTCCTTGGATAGCTTCACAGTAAACATTTAGGTGTTGAGAAAATGAAGTCCTCGGCAAGACTCATATGTTGGTGGCCAGAAATAAATTCACATATATGTCGTACAGAAGACAGTGGTGATAAATGTCATAATTTGAAAAGTCAGCCTTCAAAGTGGACTCCGTGGACAATATCGTCTGAGGACTGGCAGAGCATCCATGCAGACTATTTTGGTCCATTTCTTGCCAAATACTATGCACTTGTACTCATTGATTCTTCTTCTAAGTGGCCAAGAGTTTCTTCCACGACTTCACCAAATTTTGAATTCATAATGAAGCATTAAGAAAGGTATTAAGCCCATGGTGTTAGTGACTGATGATGACTTCCATTTCACCGCGGATGCAGTCACTAATTGGTTGAATGGCATAGGGTAATTATTCAAAAATCAAGGTGTTTCTACGTTGCATAATATATAAAAAGAGAAAAAAGAACAAACAAGATATTTTAAAGAATGGTCAGAAATATGGTAGTCATGTAAGAATTAAGAGACAAATATTGAGAATAAGTAAGACACGAAACTACAAAAAAAAATGCAAGGAATGCAAAAATTGTTTAAGTAAGTGTTGCTACAAACTCCGCTATACTGATGGCTAAGGTAGCGAGAGTGGTTGTACACACTTCTTTTAGATACAAAGATTCGAGTTGTGAACTTGGGTTGAGATGGCTTCAGCAATGTGCAAAGGACGAACTCGTAAACTATGCGGCGAATTTGATGGAATATAGTAGGTAACCCTAAAAGCTTTATTCAGTTCAAATTGATGACCTGTGTCCACAAAGTGAGCGAGAATAGAACTCGTGATCGCTTTGCCTGTCCTCTGGTCAACCACGACGGATACTTATTTACTTACTTACGCCTGTTAACCCTCGTCGAGGAGCATAGGCCGCTCACCAGCATTCTCCATCCAACTCTGTCCTGAGCCTTCCTTTCCAGTTCTTTCCAGTTGCTATTCATTCTTTTCATATATGCTTCTATTTCCCGGCGTAGTATGTTCTTTGACCTTCCTCTTTTCCAATTCCCTTCCGGATTCCAAGTTAGGGATCGAGTCGTGATGCACATTGGTGATTTCCTCAATGTATGTCCGATCCACTTCTAACGTCTTTTCCTAATTTTCTCTTCAGCTGGAAGCTGGTTTGTCCTCTCCCATAAAACGCTGTTGCTGATAGTATCCGGCCAGTGGATGTTGAGTATTTTGCGTGAAAAACTGTTTATAAATACTTGTACCTTCCTGATGGTGGCCGTAGTAGTTATCCACGTTTCAGCTCCATACAGTAGGACTGTCTTGACGTTCGTATTAAAGATTCTGACCTTGAAATTGGTTGAGAGTTGTTTTGAGTTCCATATGTTCTTCAATTGTAGAAATGCTGCCCTTGCTTTGCCAATCCTCACCTTTACATCTGCATCCGATCCTCCTTGTTTATCAACGATGCTCCCCAGGTACTTGAATGTTTCCACCTCTTCCAGAGTTTCGCCATCATGTGTGATTGGGTTGGTGTTCTCCGTGTTGCATTTGAGAATCTTGCTTTTTCCGTTGTGAATGTGGAGGCCTATCGATGCGGAGGCTGCTGCTACATTTGCTGTCTTCATCTGCATTTGGTCGTGTGTATGAGAGAGGAGGGCTAGGTCATCTGCGAAGTCCAAATCATCTAATTGATTCTGAGCTGTCCATTGTATTCCGTATTTCCCTTCAGATGTCGAATTCTTCATAATCCAGTCAATCACTAGAAGGAAGAGGAATGGGGAGAGTAGACAGCCTTGTCTGAATCCGGTCCTTACTGGAAATGCGTCTGTCAGCTGTCCTCCATGCACCACTTTGCACTGTAGTCCATCGTCTGAGTTTTGGATAATGTTGACAATCTTTTCAGGAACTCCATAGTGTCGAAGAAGTTTCCATAATGTTCTCCTCTCCACGCTGTCAAACGCCTTCTCATAGTCGATGAAGTTGACGTATAGTGATGAGTTCCACTCAACTGATTGTTCAACGATGATCCGTAGTGTCGCAATCTGGTCTGTGC